ATTAAGTGTTTAGGAGTCAACAAACTCCAAGAGCAAAGTTTTTGAACAGTAGCTGCAGTCCTTCCCCCTCTGTCCCAACTACTTGAAGCTGAACCAGTTCTTCGGACATCCTCAGTCAGAAGCCCTTTGCCTGAACCCTGCACAAATCTTCCCAGCAAGTCCTGTGCTGCAGATGGCTCTTCCAGCTGGAGTTGGATCCTGGAACAACAGTGGGAGGTTCCAGGCACTGGCCTGACTTTGGCCACTTCTGTGCAATCTGCACGTACCTTGATGACAGGCAGTAAATACACAGCAGGTGATGCTGAATTTGCCAGTACTGCACCAACTCCTGGAAGTATTCTAGAGGAACCCTCTAAATCCCCATTTAAATGAAAATACAGGGGGGTTAATGCCAGATTTCAGCTAAAACAAGTCTGTCCAACTGCTGGTTCTGCAACTATTAATTACCTTGTCTCTGAACTACTTCTGCTGTCCCTGTGTGTGCCCTGAAGGAACAGTCCCATGAGCTATTGCCAAGTGCAGAGTGGCACAACTGGGCTTTGCAAGTATCTAAAATTAGCTCCTATCCTGTAGGTCCTGAAAGGAGTCATGAACTCTGCTGTGACCCAAGATTGCTGTGGGAAGCATTTTCCTTTAGCTGCACCTTATGAGCCATGAACAGCATCCACGCTAGGAAACTGCAGCAAAAGTTGATGTGTGATGATAATTAGCATGTCTTTTGAGCAGTAGAAAATGTCTTACAAGCTCAAGGTGAAATAGGCCACTGGGTTTTACGAGATACTTAAAACAACCACTGTTGAAGAGCCATTCAGTGCAAGCCTGGAGACCTTTGAAGTTTTTAGGCACTCCCAGTCCACTTAAATGTTCTTATTCACCTCAGTATTTCTCCCTTCTCCCGTGTCCATGAGGAATCTGGCTTGCTCAGTCAGCCCCCACTTCAGTATATGTTGTGCAGAGTGTGTCTAGTGTTTTTAAAGAGGTAGTATTTGAAGCCAGGGTAATAAAACAAATACAGGTTCAACTGAAGGCCATTTGCCCCAAACTTCTGACTCAAGAGCAAGACTTTCCTCATCACAGATACTGGAGGCTGATCATCCAAACATTTACTACTAGTTTTTAGGCTGTAGGCCTTTAAGACAATATCTTCTCTTGCTCTTCATGTCACAGTATGTCTCTTCTATTGAACATTTCCATGCCTTTAGTCTGGTCTCTTACAGAATACATTTTTTTTTCCTAGCTACAAGAGAAAGTGTTAGACTATTCACTACATCTTTGAGGTGCTGCTCTTACAGCAGTTAAGACAATGAGCATCAGGCTTTATGTAGTTAGTGAGAGAATCTTTACCAACCAAACTGCCCCAGCCTGTTCTCAGCAGATCTGAGCCAGGCTCAGTTAAAGGAAGGTTTCATCACACCCAATTCTCTACTAGGGTTTGTTTCTTGACACTGTAGGTAACACACATTAACATCTATAATTTTCATCTATACCTAGACACATGGATACTGTGGGGAGATAGGGACAGAGTTCTAATAGCACCACTACTGGATCAGAGTGCCCATCCTTATGGAGTAATTCTTCATCCTCTAGCCCTGAAACATTTAGGGGAACCCTTTTAAAATATGATTACTGAACTAAGGGTAAAGGCTGCTTAATTGACACTTTTTTCCTCCTACTTCCAGTGGACACGGTGAGCCAGACTGTGCAGCAAGCAGCAGAACAGGCTAAGGATGCTGGTCAGAAAGGTAGGGACTGTTTGTGTTTATTTCCGTAATACCAAGGCAGTGAAACCCCACATAGAGCCCCCAACCCTTCCCTGCTCTTTGTCCCACACCTGGTGGGAAAGGGAAAGCTACTGCAGTGATGCTACAGTTACCTTTGTTCTTCTCTTTGAAAAGCACTGGATGAAGTCTACAAAGTTGCTGAAACCGGTGAAAAAGCTGTAAAAAATGTAGCAAACCAAGCAACTTCGTGGGGGAAAAGCTTTGGACAATGAAGATAAAAATGTATCACCACTGAAATTTTTGTAAACAACTTTCTACTACCTGTACTCTTAAATAAAGAAAATACTTATACTCTGCCTGGCTTGTGTGTATTCCTTTGGTTACATACGTTAAAAAAAAAGATTTAAAATCACTGGTCTAGAAAGACTGGATTATTTCACAGAGCAGACAGCTAGAGTTGTGCTGTGCTACTAATGCAAACACTTTTATTTTTTTTTTTTTTGGGTGGGGGTTAAATGATGGCTCAGAGTGGGCACCATGTAAAGTCAAGCACTTGAGAGCTTGTCTTTCCCATTCTGTCTCTGAGCCTAAATCACTTGTGTGTGTACAAGTCTCACCAGCTGAGCACCCAACAGCCCCCTCCAGACACGGTAAGCACCTGTCTGCTTCCATGGCTGTGTTAGTGCTTCTGGTCTTATTGGTAAAATCACAATTAGCTACTGTGTTGAGGAAGACTCAAGTGTGCTTAAGGTATATATAACCACTGTACAACTGCACTCTGATACTCAAAGTAATGCCAGCAGCAGAATGCTGCCTTGCTGGCAGCAGAGTGCTCAGCTCCACTACGTCCTTAGTGCTGTCTGAGCCTGGTCATTGGTACAACTCCAACAACTCTGGAAAAGGGAAGGGAAGGATGAGCAATGCAGGTCACACAGCGGGGCACCAGAGGCATTCACAACATTCTGTCAAACACTGATGGACAGTAATCATACAGCAGCTGAAAGAATCAAAACTGAGCAGGTATGTTTAAAAGATAACATGAACAAACCTAACTCATCAACAACCCAAAAAGCCCCCAAATAACAGAAACAATCTGTGTGCACATGAACTTAGAATCTGAAACTACAAACTTGTCAATTACTAACAGAGTAATTCAGAGGTTACTTACTTGGCATCTTGGAAACACAGCAAGAATTTCCATTGCTCTGATTTCTGATGGCGACAGTTGCCATCAATGAAAAGAGGTGTAGCACTGAGTTCTTTTCTGGGATAGAACAATGATTGTTCTGCTTGCTCTTCTGCATAATAGAAATATTTTGCTTTTAGTAGTTTGCAAGGTGGCATGTCACCCTGAACACTGTAGTTGTCATCCTTCTGCAATTCACTGGCAGCTTCAGAGTACTTGCTGTGATGCTGTAACACAAATTACTTACCTGTGCTGTACTAAGTGTGAATGAGAGCTTACAAACACCTGCTGTGGTGAGGATGTGCTTTGTTCTCTGCTCAGAGCAGTTTCAAATCTGTGCTCAAACCTAACTTCAGGTACTGACTGGCTCCCTGCCAAACAACCTGGCAAGTTTGTTGGTGAATGTCAGGTGGCATGTAGGTGGTATTGCTTGTATTCAATTTTGTTAGCTGGCAGTTGACTTGCATGTGTGGGTGCACATATATATAAGGAGGGTCTAACACCTAACTGAACTAACAGTTCTAGTAAAAAAAAACCCCAAAATTTATAACATACATCCCAGAAAGTGATTGCTTTTTTTTCAGCTGTGGCTAGGGCCTGGCAAATGGCTAGAGCTGCTTTGCTTTTAAGCCTCTAAACCCACGTTAACTCATAGCAACTGTAGCAAATTTTACCACTTTCTTCTTTCTTTTGTTGTTGTTGGTTCTGCAGAGGTCTGTGCTACAAAATGTGGTAAGGAACATGTGACTCTTTTCTTAACTGTCTGATCACGTTAGGATTGAGGTCAACAATGTTCAGAACCAGCATAGCCCTAATGTACAAGAACACTTCACAGCAGGCCATCACAAGAAGTCTGCAATCAATGAGTTTGATTCTTGTGCTTAGCTTCAAGCAAAGGGCAAATCAGCAAATGTGTGGTAATCTTTGGTCAGACTCCAAGTATTGTCTCCTTGAGAATCTCAACTCTTTGATTAAAAGTACCCCAAGCTGTCCTTATACCAGTCCCTGGCTATGCTAAGATTCATGTCTCTTGTGTCTCCAACGCCTGTTGGAGGTCAGGAACCACTGCAACTAAGTTGGCTGAGGAGAGATTCAGTCAACCTTCAGGGCTCCTCTTTGGGATTGGGAAAATCATGCTAGGTGGGAGGTCTGCTTTTTTTCACCTGGGAAAAGAAGTGTTAGTGTGTGTGTATACAAGACCAGAAGATGCACATGAATTGGGGAATACAGGCATTGTGCAGGTTTTGGCTTTTTTTCCCTTCCAAGTTGGTAGGAGGTAGAAGATACCCCAGTTAGCTATCTATGCCAACTTTCTGTGTGCTCCAGCACTGAAAAGGTCTGCACATCAAGTCTGCACATCCAAACTAGTGGTGCTTTACTGTCTGTAGAGGAAATGAAGCAGGGGAGGGAGAACAACAGTACACATTTTCCTTTTAACAAATTTTCTGTCAGGTAATGCAATGCTGCTTTTAAGATTATTTCTCTTTTTAATAATACAACTGTTTATTTGTGAGGTTTTGGTTACAGTTTGTCAGAGTTGAATTGCTAAAATACTTCTTCTGTTTTACTATATAATAAATGTTTATGTAAAAACTGCACTGAAAAATATGATCTAGGATATAGATCTTGTATTTAGAGATCCACACCTCGATCACAATAATTCTCTCAAGCTCAAAGGGTTCTCATTTTTTAAATGATGTCAGTATATGTGTGTATATATATATATATATGCTGCACTTAGGTGATCTGTAGTACTTTTATAAAACTAGACATTGGTATATATGATGGAGCAAGCCACTAATTAAATGCACCACGCAGGTTTATTGCTCCATGCTAACTACCAGAATAGTTCTTCACACAAATTTGAGAAGACACAGTAAAAAGATCTGAAATGATTTACCAAATATATCCAATTTTAAAAGTCTTGCTGACAGGCAAGTTCAAGAGAAGTATTAGTGAGCCCCTTAAGAAAACTTGGGGCAGCATTTTAGCAGTGAGCATGTGATAGACAAGTGTTCTGTGAAGATTTTCAGATTGATTGTAACTATAGAAAGCTACTGCATGAAATAGAAAACAGTAATACACCAGCATAGTAGGTTTGGAAAGGTCAACTTTTTTTAATAACTGCTCTCTCTCCAGGTTATGTCATGCAGTTACAAAGTAGTTAGGAAAAAAGCATGAGTTTCTGGGAGGGACTAGTTGTCTTTTTAAAAAAAACATTCATATTCATTACATAAATAACATCTGGCACTTCAAGGGGACTCCACGGGACAAAAGCCTTACACTTCAAAACCTGTGCTTGATCCACAATATTTGGTTGAGGTCCATTTTGTTGAACTCCAAGATGTTCAAAATTTTCAAGACCTCCTTATGACCAAAAAAAAAAAAGGCCATGTGTGTTAAGACAGTGGATTAAGTTTATAGCAGCATCTTAGCTCCTCTGTGGTTTGGCCAATGATTTCTGGGTTCAGTTTCACTTCAGTTGTTCATTGAGGCAGTATCCAATTTTCAGAAAGCCTCTGAAAGGAAAGACTGAAAAAGAATTCCAAAAAACCTAAGTATGATTGCTTACCAAATCCAGAATATCCCTTTTTTTAAAAAAAGGAAATGACCTATAGTCAGAATTATGTAGATACTTGATTAAAAACATAACTAGAGTTGCTTGATAGTTTCAGCTTATAAAAATATTAGTCTGTCGGCGCTACATACGTCATGATGACAGTCAAACTAGCTTGAACAAGCGATAAAAGGCAGTCCTGTAACAGCAGCACAGTTAAAGAAAAAATATTGCCTAAAGAGAATCAGGCCTGAAGCTTTACTACAAACAAAAACTAGACTCCTATCAAAGTTAATCCCTGCTGGAGGCCCGTTCTTCCTTTGACAATGCCACAGCATTGATCATACAAGGCCTTACTGAAAGTGCTGAAGCCAAAATTACGTCATTAAACAAAAGTGCATGAAGTAATAATGAGCTAAGTGCTCATATAGTACAGTATCTGATCTGAAGTCTGAGAAGTGGCTCAGGTGGCAAGACCACTCTTCCATATATAAAATGTACCATTTTGTTTTGTAGGCGAAATACCCAGAATGGCCCCCACAAGTGCAGATGAACTGTTATCTTCAGATACATACTTGTATACAATTTCCTAATCCATGGATTTTTATTGTAAAAAAGACTAGTTCGGAACTGAAACTAATTGAGAATAGAATCCACTATAATGTCAGAAGAAAAGAAAATTTTGTGGTTACATGTAAACTTGTGATAAGCTTTCTCAAGAAGAGGGTACATTAACAGCGAGAGGGGTGGGATACAACAAGGAGCGGTCATGGCCTGTTTATGTAAAGGTCAAACCAGCCTCATTGTACACTTTGAAGACTTTCTCAATTGCATTGACATAGGCAGCTGTTCTCAGGTCCAGACCCAGGTTGTATGTCATGGCAGTACGCATGATTTGCTGAAACAGAAAAGGTTATATGTTATTTCTGTGAGTTTCTCCCTAGGAGCTGAACAATTTTGCTTGCAGGATCCCAGTTAGGAGTAAAAGGAGCTGCTAGATTGGTATCAGAGCTCTGATTCTTTGTGGATCAATCATAAAATGTCTTGATTCCCCTTATAACTGATAACTAAAAGGGAAGAAAATCTTTCCCATGTTACTATGTTAGCCCTTTTCAAGTCTTAGACTGATATGTACCGCACATACTTGAAACATCTTGTCTCTCGCTGTAGGTTTTGTCCCATTAATTAAAAACACAGCATAGAGGGGTTAATCTAAAACTGCTAATGGTAAAGTAAAGCACTCTTATGTATGTGTTCCAGATTAGCCAGGTACAGGAAGACAACTGAAAATTTCTTAATTACTGTAGTTTCTACAAGAAAATACTTCTTCATTTCCTGTATTAATCTCTAATGTTTACTATAACCAGTTAATGGTGGCCATAATGGCAGAGAGCAGAAGTACTTCATACTCGTGGTAACTCCCATTATCATGTATTGTCTATCTATTCCTTTAATGGCAGAGAAATTCTGTACAACCTATTCAAAAGCTGTCCCAAAGTCGTGTGAGTTTTCTCTCATATAAGTCTGTAGAGTAATGCAATATTTACCCGGGCAGAACGCTCCATTGTATAAGCCAACCCAGAGTGGACAATGTCTTTCTCAGATGCACCCTGCAACAACAGAGAATAAAATCAGGGTTTAATCCAAAACATAAAGGGATTAGGGACAATGACAGAACACAAAGGTGCATTAGGGACAATGACATGTTGGATTCCCTTAATTACTGAAGCTTTCTCACTCCTTCTAAGGATAGGTGAAGAATCTAAATCACCTTTACTGTGGTACTTGAAGAGCTAGTTATGGCCAATTCAATTCTAAAACCTCAAATGTAAGCACTGAAGTCTTTTATAGCTTCTAGATGCATGATGCATTTTTTTATTGATGTTGTAACTACTGTTTCAGCCTTCAGAATGCACAGTAAATATTAAACAAAAAAGCTCCCAAGAGTCAATAACCTTTACAAGCTTCTTGCAATTGCTTTGAAGACAGGTTTCAGGAAGGGCATAAATCCCAAATTCGTATTCTCCACATTGTATTAGCCCTGAGCAACTCCAAAACAACTTTGTTCCCATTAAAATTTAAATACACAGAGCAGTAAGTAGTTGTAGACTGCCTGAATTAGGATGACTCAGTATCAGCTTCAATGTTGCATTGTCCTGATTGCTGTTATTTACTAATGATTTGACAGGTACATATACAAAATATGCACTTTCCCTCAAATATCTATTCGGGCTGGAAGTAGAAACTACTAGGCCAGTTTCTATAGCTTGTGTTTGAGATCCAGCAATTGCTTTAAGCCACAGAACCATCAGGAATGCTATCCATAAAACCTAATGTGTATGAAAATGCTAGCATCATACTGGATCAGGTTAAAATCTATTTCTATCACTTGACAGTAGTCCAAGTCCACATGCATTTCCCCTGATTTCTTCCCAAGGAAGAATGGTTTAATGTTTTTCACAACTCACTGGACTTCAACACCCCATCATTTGCTCCATCTCCTCCTGAACTTGTGTTTGAAAACAAGCTGACTGATGCTTTCAGTCTCCATGTATCTCTTGGCAGAACAGTCTGCTGTGCTAGGAACCATCCCCTTATTCTTCATTCTGTGCCTCACTGTGCTGGTTCTGTTTGAACCATTCCAGATGGTGAACTCTATACCCTCACCTGCCTATTTTCACACCACTCATCCTAGAGATGACTGTCTCCACCCCCTGACCAGTTCAGGCCAGTAAGACCAAGGTTAGCTCATTGTTCCATGTAGGAGAAGCTTCCATACTTTTGGTTATTCCTGTGATCTTGCTCTGAACTTTTCTCACATCTATAATGTTTGAAGATGCAGAGACTCAACCTGCACACAGTATTTAGAAGGCAGACACTGTGGATTTATATGGTGGCATCACTAATCAGTCTTGTATTTTCACTTCAGAATAATTTCTAATGCTGGATTTGCTTTTTGATTGCTATGGATTTCTAAGCTTATATTTTGTCATCACCTCCAAAACTTCCATTTGAATGCAAATGGATGAACTCACAACCCATCATTTTATATGGAAATTTCCCCACCATGTATTGCTACACATTAGATAACAATGAATTTTACCTGACATTTCTTTGCCTGTTAATTCAGTCTTAGAGGAACATTCTACAACTTTTCACCCAGCTCTTAATCTGGAGTGACACAAAAAACCATATCAAACTGTCTGTGGTGTGGGATCTTGCTGAAAGTTTTTTGGAAATCCGGGCAAATTATACCAACAAGATCTCCAAAATACAAAATGCATCTGTATTAAAACTGTAGCTTTTTTACAATATTAGAGGCATTTTGCACAGGCTCAAGTAAAAGAAAGCAAAAATGGCTTATTTCCAGTATTCTTAAGCAGGTCAGATCATTTGCTTGCTTTATTTATTTGACCATCAGCCTAACTATGTGTTAATGCCTTGTTTGGGGAAAAATGCTCCGTGGTAGCTACAATGGTAAAATTTAGATTGCAGTTATAATATCAGGATACACCTACCTTAACAGTAAAAACAACCAGCAGCAGCTACTTACCGATATCCTATCCTGAAATTCTGCTGTAGGCACAACTGGAATAGTTCCCCCATGTTTCCCGAATTTTCTTTCCAAGCTTTCCTGGACAGACACTAGAAAGGAAAAAAAAAATAGATGCAAGGTAACAGACAAGGAGAGGAATGTGCTCCCTAATAAAGGTGGCAAGGCCAAGACTTCCAGCGCGCAGTGGAATGAAATGCAGGCTATAGGGGCTGTGGGTAAAGGAATCATCTTATTTTGTTTTCTAAAAAAAGGGAAAGATATTGATTTTTTTCTGTTTTTATATGTGAATGACTCCAGTATTACTATAGTACAGTTATAAGGCAACGAACTCAATTTGCTGATCTTACTAATCTTATCAAACTGATAGAGTAATCTGGATTAGTTTTCCTAACTTGATAGGTAGTATTAGACAAACTATTTTTTGAAGTTAAAGCAATCAATCATCCCATATTGCACTTGGAATATATAGTAATTGCTAAGAAAAAAGCCCATGTGGAATTTTAGGTTTTTTCCCTTAGGACATGAGCAGTGCTTTGGTATTTTCATTGATATTTATTTCATCTTAATTCCTGAAATCCCTAAACCAACATCACAGAGTATTTGAGATAAGACAATCTGGAAGCTAAGGAAGGGATTTAAAGGAGAATTTCTGTAACTCTCAAATACTTTAGAAACACCTTGAAAAGTATGATTTAAGAGAAAAGGTTATATTTAAAATCATGCATGCATGTTTTGTGAAGTCCTCTGTTTCAAGATTTTCACATTTTCTACAGAATATTGCTTAAAATGGAGCAGCATCCGCCAGTACTTCTCCATTAAGCTTCCTCTCTCTGTGCAATTGGTATTCTTTCCCAGAAACTAGGTAGCACAGAATGACTATAAGTGGAGTTGTAGGCCATAAGCAGATTTTTACAGTGCCTGTACCAAATATATCATTGTCCTTTACAGAAATCCTCTATTGTTGTATGTGCAGAACAATGTTACCCACTCAAACTGAACACTTCTCAAACACCAAGTGTACAGCTGAAGGATGTTTATTAAGAAGTAATAAATATTTCACATAAGTAGCTTGACTTCAGTATTTTCACAAAACTGAGGGAAGAATGAAAAGATAACTGAAAAACTATGCATTTAACTTGGGCCATCAGAGTCAGTAAACCCATAAAACCTTCTCTATTCTTTAGTATGAAGTAGTTATAGACTTGTGGGGAAACTGTGGTGAATTTTAATTAGTTCTGTATTTATTTGTCCCACATTTGGTGTTTGCTAGTCCAATCTATTGATTAAACAGTGTGTGGGAGTGGAACTGAGCACTTACTGAGCAAGTGGTAGTTTGAATCCCGTTCATATTTGAAAGTCAAACGGCCATAACTGACGTGGTTCAAGTTTTTCAGCCATTCAAAATAGGATACTGTTACACCACCAGCGTTCAGGTAAAGATCCTGCACAGAAATAGCAAATATTTTGAGTTGTGACCATGTGACAAAGGCAGCTCTATGGTATTATGCAAAAGTAAGCAGAACTATTATGTACAAAGCACTACTTTAAACTGCAGTACAGAAGACAATTCAGTTCTTACTCTTATAGGACAACACTTATCCTCTTCTGCAGTCCAGGCATTACTTCTACTGATTTAAAGAGGACTTGACTTAAGAACACATGAAGTTCAGGTGTGCTTGACTGACTACCTCTATTTTAGCAAAAGTGTTAAATCAAAAAAATTAGGGCATCCTTAGGCCATCTCAGTGAGTAAAGGCTGAAGATCAGCCACTCTGTCTAGCAATATCACTTGATCAGGACACCCTTTCTTTAAGAAAAAAATGTCATTATACCTGGCTAGGTCTTATTCTTTCAAATACTCACAACAGACAACATTTACTCTGTACAATCTACAGTATCACCCAGATACACAATGTCTACAAACTGGCCAGTATATTGCAGTGAGATCTTTAATAAATACTGCCTTTCTTAAGCAACACTGACACCCATTTCCTAGACATCTGTTATTAAAAAAACACTCTTAGAGAATGAATGGCTATTCATAAAAACCTTCAATAAATAATGTCTTCCTACAGTTCACAAAAATGTTATTTTTGTAATGAAATCAAAGGTCATAATAAAACCTTACAGGGATAACCATAATATTCCGCTCCAAGAAGATTTTGTCAGCTTCAGGAGTCGTAGGCCCATTGGCACCTTCAGCAATAATCTGAAAGAAATCACAGCAGAGTAGCTCAGAGGTATATGTTTGGTTTTGTTCATGCTGATTATCAAATAATAGCATTTAGACAGACCTCCCCTATTTTTCATTTACATTTGAACTCTTTTCACTTACTTTTGCTTTAACCTTGTGAGCATTGGCCTTAGTCAACTGTTTCTCACTGGCAGCAGGGATGAGAATGTCACAGTCTGTTTCCAGAATACTGCCCTCGAGTGGCTTTGCTTTAGGGAAGCCCATGATTGTCCCGTGTTGCTGTGCAAAGAAAACAAACCAGGGTGTTTTGAGTGTGTGAGTACTTGTATGAATTCCTTCCCTTCCTCTGGCTTCCATAATAGAAATAAAAAAAAAGGCAACAGTACCAGACAGACAGCACATAACATAATTCCTATCTTTACTTAGATTACATACAAAAAGCAAGATACAAAGCTCAAATAACAGTCAAAGTTCCCGAGACGGGGATTGAGGCATAACTGCTCTCTGGCCAAAGACACTGATAATCATTTGGGCTCTGGAGTATTAAAAAAAAAGGTCCCTCTCAGCCCTTAAAATAGTTTTCAAACAACTGAAATGACTCACTAGAGTGCTACACATAGGCTAAGTTGCATCACATAAGATTCAGAAGTACTATTTTAAAGTACTATAATGATAGCTTTTGCTTAGTGACAAAGCTTTTCATTCTTCTGAGAAAGGGAGTGATAAAAACATTTGAATACTCCCTATCTAAAAGAAAAAACATCAAATAAGGCTCTTAGAAACTTCAAGTAGAAGACTGCACTTTAGTGCCTGTCCCCTCAAGTCTGCTTCACTTGGAAATAAAAAGACCATATCCACTTGTCATTATAAACCACACATTCAAGTCACACTGCAAGACAGGTTTTCATTCTTTCAGAAACATTCAATAATTAAGAAGCAGCAAAAGCACAGGTCTTTAAATGACCACATGCTTGTGACTCTCAGTCAGGAACCCTTCAGGAATCTCCCTGCCCTTGTTCCTTAAGACATCTTTCCTAGTTTAGGCATAAGAAAAGCAAAATAATACTGAAGTAATTAGCCTGCAGGCATTCTTCTGAGTCAGGTCAAAGCGTAAATAAGGAGAAAGGTCAGAAGAGTCAACATTTCTAAGCCATTTTGTAAGGACTAATTGCAGCATGATTTAAATATCAAATTAACACCAGTCTGCAGTGTCATCCTATGTACTTGCAAAGCTGACAAAAATAAAACACTTTCTGCTTAGTTAAGCTTCATACCAATTTGAAATCTTCTAGTTCCTTTGGGTCAATCCCATCAGGATTCCAGATAGAACCGTTAAACTCCCCGACAGCGACACATTTTGCTCCATAACGATGCAAGTACCTCATGGAATGCAAGCCCACGTTACCAAATCCCTGAGGGTGGAAAGGGGAAAGCAGTTAACCCTTCAGCTAAAATGATGATGATTATTGTTCAGGTTTATACAGTTTTGAATAGTTTTAAATAGTCCTTAATCTACCGGCACATCTTGGCATTAGATGATAGGTATAAGAATGATGGAAGAAAGTTACATGCATTCCATTCTTGTCTGAATACCACTGCAGAAATTATGCATTGCAGCCAGCAATATACAGTTGTGCTAAGTTTTTTATACTGGAAATATAGAAAGAACTAATGCTACTATGGAAGTGTCAAAACTGATATTTATCAATATTGGATCACTATGTGTATTTTATAACTGGCACTGTCTTAAAGGGATTAGTAGATTTTTGTATGGCTATTCACAGGTTTGACTAACATTTGTGGGACAAGAAATATTCTCATTTAATTTGGGTAAAGAAGGCTTACAAGTGTAAAACCATCCCACAGTGGAAAGTATTAAACAAAAGAATATAATTAGTTCTTCACACTGAACTTGCAAACTAGTAGGAAGCTATGTAATTTCTAACACATTCTGAAGTGACCCTGTACAAAACAGACTCTCTAAATTTAAATTTAGATAATCTTGTATTTCATTATCATGCTTTACATCCTTACATGTGTAGAAAACGTAATTCCAGGCCATTATGTTCCTTTACTTCCAGAATGCTGACATTCTGGAAGCAAAGGAACACACACAGCAGACCAAAGAGTTACATGACCAATGACAAAAGTTTGTAGTACAATTCTGTGCTGAAAAAATAAGCTGAAAACTAAAGTCCTGTCTAATGTAGCTCCAATTGTATTTAGGATTTTTGTTTATTCGTTAGAAGCAAACTTTGATACAACAGTCTGTCCTGCATTAGGTCTCTTCAAAACACTTTATGCCTGTTTTCCTACAAGAATTTTCAGCTATTGTTATGGTCATGTTTTCAGCCTAAGTTGTGCTGAAGTGCCTGTTGGTTAGTCCTCTGCCAGGCATGAAAATGCCAAAGTGCAGGGAGATGAGTGTGCTGCAGGGTCCACGCAGGGCAGGGATGTTTGTTCCAGCCTACGGGTTAACTAGAGGACAACCTGGAGGTTACAATTACTCTGCTATTTCTAACAGCCAAGCAAATCAGTGCCTCAAATCCTCCATTTAACATACTGTTTAAAGCTGAGCAAGTTATTTCTTTGAAATTTTAGGAATGATAATACATATTACCGACTATCAAACCCCTTAATTTCAGCTACCTAAATCCTCAAGTCTTATGAACACCAAAAATGTGCATTCAACCTACAAATTTAGGATAAGGTATTGGTTTCCTATTTTTCCAACTGCCCATTCTATAGTGAAACAAGAACATAACCATCAATTCCTTCTCTCCCTGAATTTTTTATCATAAAACATTGCAACAAATTTTGTATAGGCAGAAACAGTGTCATAGCTCACCGAAAAGTGTGCAATGCCTTAAAGAACTCCTGTAATAGTATTTAATTTTGGTGTTTGCAGCCTGTGTTTGTAAAGAGTAGAGATATGGCCTTGAGCCTGTAGGGTGCAATTGAAAGTTCAGTTTTTTAAAAAACAGTCCAAAATAAAGGGCACCTGTGTTGCCTGAAAAGTGTTTCTGAAGTTTGAGAGTAAAGGTGAACTTGGAAGTTTTAAAACCCTAACAGGTTTTAAGGGCTACAGCTCTTTTTAAAAGCAGCTCTACTGAAAGTCTGTTTACTACTTTTTCCCTACGGTCAAAGGAAAAAAAATTTACCTGAACAGCAAATGTTTTATCTCCAAATCCAGGAGTCATTCCTAATAAACTCATATATGATGCTTCATTGATGAAATTTTCAATTCCATGGAAGACACCACGACCAGTTGCAGATATACGTCCATGGATCCCACCCTGGCTGATGGGTTTACCAGTTACACATGCGTGGGCATTAATGTCCTGTAAAACAGTGAAGGACTTGTGAGATAGGGAATTAATCAATCAAACAGCAGCTGGACCAAGAAGTTCTAGCTAGAGATAAGAGAAAACTGAAATCGTAAGGGTCAGAATCTGATACAGCTTATATACATTTATTTGTAAAGATTATTTCCTTCCTCACTGTGTGTGAACACCTTGGAAGTACTCCAGTAAATGTCAGGGAAGTTGTGTAATGCAGTACTGGATATGGCCTGTAATTTTTTATTGTCTTTAAGTGTGTCTGTTAACTTCACTCTGTGTTTAGTTAATCACGGTGACATCCACGTTGTACTGTTAGCAACGAGCACGCTTTTGACAAATCAAAAAGCTGAGAGTGATGTTTCTCAAAATCAGCTCCTATTACAGTCACAATTTTCATCATTATTCTTGAAGTGTTAATCTTTTTAAGGGCTCAGACATATCCCTGGACTGGTTTTTAATCACCTTTAAACAGTGTTTAGTGTTCCTTTATATCAAATTCAGTTATTTTGAAAGGACAGGACAGGCCTAATACGTTCTTGCTGTCAGAATACAGGGTTGTTTGATCTCAGAGAAAAATCTGCAGTATGAAGGTCATATGGCAAAAGTTAGATAAGTAGATTACTTTTATTCAGAAAAGCAATATATACAATCAAGCCTCTATTCTTAATTTGGAGGCAATAAAGTTTTCCATATGCCAGATAGTTAGCCAAGATAAAATCACTACTTAAAACCAGAATTAATTTTTCCAACTGAAATTAATAATTTGAAAAAAATGCTTCCAAACCAGACACTGGACCTCCCTCTTCTGTCAGCACTGGTTCTCATGCTCCCACACCCTGGGAGCACAGTCACACGGTGGCTTGGCTTCCAACACAAGTGAAAGAGTAGGGATGAAAGAGAATCCACTGAAATGAGTCTGCCAGCAGCCGGATGGGTTTCCATTCCACCAGCCACATATTCCCTGGGAGGCTCCCTCCTCTCTGTCACTGTGCCAAAAGCATTTGCATGCCTGTGGCGTGAGTGCAAGATGCTTGGTGAGAGGAAGGAAAGGAGCAGACAAAAGTAAGTGGAGACAGAATGGCTGGCGATGACTAGAGCCATAATAAAAACTAAAACTTTTTGTTTGAAAACGATAGTGAGCTAACCTATAAAGGCAAAGGTAACTCTTCTTTAAGAATAAAAGTGATCCTGGGCTTGCCACAAAATTCCTAATTCAGTTTCCCAAAATACAGTTGTGCTGCTGTCCATAAGCTGTCTGCTCCCTCTGGTGGCATATCAACCGTAACCAAGATCAGCAGGGGTGTTTTGCTAGGAACAACTTGGCCTGGCATTTTGATGGACTTTTAGGGTTTTATTCTGTTTCAGATTGAAACTATGTCTTAGGTTTTGTGCATTCACAAAGGCAGATGTCTGTTTTATAAATACTTGAAGAAATACAGCCTCCCATCATATATAAGAATGTATTTATTAAAGTCCCTTTGTGTGTCCCAAAAGTCAGTTGATTGTGTCAGGCAGTACAGAAGAGCAGAAAAGACTAATTTAACCAAAAACTTTAGCCATATATAATTCAGTGATCCAGCAACTTCAGATGGATTTTCTGGAACAGTTAACATGGTAGTTATTAACGACGTGCATGGTTTAGCAAGAAAATAGAGCACGAGATGAGCACAGGTCCAGATCTTCTTAAAGTCACATATACAAACCACAGTTGACGTCAAAGTCCTAAAAACTTTGATTTTAGGTCAATAAGCAAACACATTTAATGCGTCTTGGGCCAAAAAGAAAGGGCATGGCTTTTAACGAGAACCTTGGAAAATGGTCTATGGCTAGCATTAAAGACTTCTATATCAGCACTAGTAGTTTATGAACTTAGTTGGCAATGTCCAGACACTAATTTTTGTTCCTTTCTTAACCCCTTTCTCCTTGTCTCTCCAGCTTGCTGGTTCTCTTGCTGGGTTTCAAGCAGACTTTCCCTATCTGTTTTGTATCTGTTGACTTATCCTTTCCACTTCAACCTCCCTGAACACAGCTGTGTGCAACCACACTGACTCATCAGCTCTGTAGATTTCTCAGACAGATTCCTCTCTCCAAAGTAATCTTTCCACTCAACTCTTAGTAGTCTCTTGCATAGCTTCCATCTCTCTTCAGAATTATGGCTAGTTACACTTTTGTTCATTGCTCATTTTCTGCTCTTAGTTCTCTTCCCTTCTTCCCCCATGGCCACTTTTTTATCTCTTTAGTATTCCTTAATCACCTTTATTTGTGCTCTTGGTGTCTCAAGCAGATAGTTATGTGTTTCCTCTACAAACTGGTTTTGATGGATTATTCCCCTTGTCAGAACTGTCACTTTCCTTCTCCACACCTGGTCATTCTCCACAATAGCTCTGAAGTTCCACTATGGCTACCATTCTTTCTTGCATGTACAAACAACCAACCCAACAAAATTAAGTTTCAATTCTTTAATTAGCTACTCAGAAAAATGTTCCTAAATAATCTCAGGTTTTTTTATTTTTCAATAAGATACTGCCATGCAGAGAGCCTAGGAATAAAAGAAGCTGTTGTAGCATAATGCAAATTCTATTTTTATCCTCAGTAGTTGTTATTTTATTTTGTCACTGAATCATGAGTATGTGTGGGACTACACAACAAGGTGAGATGACAAAGTGGAAAGAGTAAGAAATTCAGCCATTTGAAAACCTCTCCTCTATCAGTGTTTAGTTTTCCAACTATCAAAAAAAATGAAGCTTTTGTATAAAACTGTGAGAACTCAACTAATACAGCAGATCTTAAAACAGGTCATATGCTGTGAGCCTTCTGCATCAGTTGTAATAATACAATGCTGTTGTATCACAGTGAAATATGCATTTTAGTGCAATGAGTTAAATGTTAAAATGCTTTGAGGTAGTAGCTTTGGTAAATGTTGGAATTTTAAGTTATGACTGAGGGAACTAGTTGCCACTCCACATGTTGAAGTCCTTTTGAAGTCATAATTTTGAGGTTTTATCAGGTTTCAAGTTTTAATTAAAAAATTTACATATGTGAATAGCAAAAAGCAAGTAATGTTTTACAGTGGCATCCCTATCTAACAGGCAGCTCTGTGTAAAAGTGATTTAACTCAATCCCTAGGCCACAGCTGATTCCTCAAGCATTCCTTTTTTCCTCCCATAAGATACCTTAGATTGTGTTTTAGATGTAGAATAACCTGTGCCACTCCATCCTCCTATTGTTAAAGGATCAGACAAGTATTCTGCCTAGAGACCGTCTCAGGGAAGCTGGGCACGTCTTGAACAGCCACACCAGAGGGAAATACATGTTGGGTGGCTCTAATGCCTTACCACTGGAGGCAGACACCCTGCTGTATTTAGGGAAAACTGTTGGAAGGGACTGCAGAATGTACAAAGAACGAGTCTTTTCATTTCAAAAGGAGCTGGGATAGGCAAACATGCAATAGATTAGCATATCAATACACAGCTACTAAGAAATAAGCTGTTCATAATACGTTTTTCTCTCATCCAACCTGTCAAAAGTATACAAGTGTTTGGTCAGCAGTCAGGTGCAAATAACCCCCCCCAACATAAGGGCAAACGGCAAAGTAAGGGCTAAGATTAAAAACTAATTTTTAAAAACTTTTAATTCATGTTATTGCCTCCTGGGCAACATGTTCTATCAGTGGAGAATTTGCTGAAGTCTACATCGATTACTTGTTACCTCTAGGGGGACTGCAGAGAACCTTACAACAACAGTATGAACTTAATTTACACGGTCTCTTGAACAAACAAAACCACAAGCATTTATGTCATAAAACTTGTAAATTCTGTTATCTGAAATGGAAAGATTTCAATTCTGCAGACTATACAAGCTATTATGAACTAATTGTTTAACAATTTTAATAATTATAGTACTAATGAAAAATAGAGGGAAATGGTAGAAATAGAAACCTGTTTTAGACCTACTGTACCTTTAAAAACTGTATTTTTTTTTGCTGAACACTTGCAGTCAGTATTGTATCAATTGTATCAAACAAACTTTTCTGAAGGCCAGTGTAAAAACATTAACCTTAAAGCTATTTTTCCTTAACAGTAGTACCCTAAAAACCTCACACCAATTATGTTGTCACAGTTTGCAAGAATATATTTAGATCCCATAATGAAACAAAATCACATGATTAAGCATTTTTTCTACTTCAAAGTCTCTGCTCAAAACTTACATAGTGTCCTATGGTACTGGCATAAGTGTCGGCAATCCAGGACATCTCCCTTTCCCCTGTGCTCATATCAGGAGCAGGCACATCCACACCAGGTCCTGTTGGCAACAGTGCAAACAGCTTTTGAGGGTCCAACATGAATAGTTATCTTCAGCCATTATTCTCCTGGGAACTGTGCAGGCCTTGGCAGAGAAGAACTGTTTTCCTGTTTAATCCTCAGTTTATTATGCAAGCAACATATTCTTCTGGATTCAGTTCAGGTTTAGATACTGCATCACACATTTCTACAATGCTGTCAAAGCCTCCAACCTTCCACATAAGCCACTCGATAAAATGAAGGTCAGTTTGTCAATAAAAAGTCAGAGCAAGACAGTGCATTAAAAGCTTTTTTTTTTTTGGTAATCACTGCTGTAACAGGGAGAGTGCTGTCTAGGTATGATTTCTATGTACTGTGACATTGATTAGGTTCTTTGGCCTTAGAATTTCTTTTTTGTTCCTGGGTGAGTTTAAAAATCAGAGATAGGCTGTTCCTAGTCATTGCACTGCAGCACGTGCAATTTACAATTTTAGCATTTACTTCAAGAAAGAGAAATTAAACTTTTCTTGATGAACTAAACTTTTGAAAGAACTTCCACACATCTGTTGAAATAGTAACAAATTCACTCCGTTTTTTCTAGATAACTAAACCCAGTATTTACCCATACTATTTAAGATCAGATGGACTTGCTCAACAAGATTTTAAACACAGCTCTGCCTCTATAATTTTTTCCTAAGTATTTTTAAAAGGTTTGTGAAAGCTGTGTAGCCCCAACCATAGAGCCAAAAAAGAAGAGAAATTTAATCAAACCATTTTAATTGTCACTGAACTAGCAATCAGTATAGCTGGCATAGTGTATAGCATTACCTTAGTCACATCAGTAAGTATGTTTATAAAGAAGCTTAATTTTAATGATAAGCACTCTGGCTGGAAAAGCAAATGACAAACACTCTAGCTGAAGAGTAAGAAAAAGCAGATAAATGGATATACATTCCTGGGGCAGTTAGACATCAGGAGTACATGGCAGACTAGTTACATGCCTCATTGTTTATTTGAGTAAGAACCTCCTTCATGTAAAGCTCCGCCCTTTAATTACAAGTCGAGCTAGTAACATTCAGCTTTCTCCAGAGACTTCCAGCTAGCAGCTCCAGACAGCAAGGTATCAGAACAGCTCAGGGCTGAGAGTCTGAATGAAGCACCTACTAACATTACAGAAGCTGAGGTTCTGTTACAACAGGCTCCCATGCTGCTTGCCTACGCTCCCCTTGCAGCCTGTGGTTGCCATGGGTGAAGCCATCAACTTTTGCTGGGGTGGACCTTCTATTTCCTTCCTCTCTTTCCTCAGATATCTGCCAAAAACCTCAACTGAGACTACAGGAAACAGTAACAGTAAAGAGTTTGCTATTAGAGATTAAAATTGCCACAAACATGGTCACAATTTCATAATTTAAGAGAAATGTGTATCATTTTGGATACTGTGACCTCAGCTTTTGTGGCCTCTCGTAGCAGAACAGCCACTAGGAAAAAAGTTAAGACAGTTCTCTTTAAAATGCACTAAGATGCAATGTCTCAATTCTTTGTGGCTCTTTGCTGGAAGTTCTGTGCCCAAATTGTTTCCAGCTCTCAAAAACACTGTTCTTTAAGGACACTACCTAGTGGACACTGACAGTGCAAAATAAATCAGGTTCCTAAATTTGCATAGTAAAGCTGCCCAACATACCAATAAATCCCTTTTTTGCCAGCTCCATGGTAAACCTTCTCGTGATCTTTTCCAATTCATTGTCCTATAGAGAAAATGCAATAAACATCAGAGGAAAATATTAGTGTTTACGAGTACGTGCTAGAACTCAGCCCAAGCACAAACAGACACCCTCTTCCTCTAGAAGAAAGAATGATTCATAATTTCTATAATTTATATGCCACTCCCTAACAGACTGTTGGTATTCAGGCAGCCCAAGAAACACAGCTTTCTTTCTGTACATTCTGATCCATGACAGGTCGGGAGCGTGGCACGGGAAGAGCCACCTGTGCTTGCAGTGGAGGTTTCCAGCAAACAGATCTGATCTCCTGTGTGAGCAATTTACAGCCAGCAGCAGCAGTAGCTGGGCTGCCAGCTGTGTAATCAACACAGCTGAATGACTTCACCCAAACCCTTACAGGAGCTCTGAGCTTAGAATATCTGTTACGTGTTCTAGTGTCCCTCTCTCTACGAGTTATTTTAATTAGGGCAAGAAGGCAAGCCTGCAGTAAACCTTTCATAAGCCAAGTTAGTTATTATTCACACTGGAACACTGCATACGATGGTTTAATGGAGCATAAAACTATTTATCAAAATAAACGAAAACATTAACTTTTTTCCTAAGAGTAATTTAATTTAAGCTTTTATTAACAGTATCGACTTCAAAAAAATTTCAGGTTCAAAATTATTTGTAGTTTCCTGACGTTCAGGAAAAAATTTAGAAATTAAATAATTGAAGTATTCCACCTCTGAAACACAGACATTTTAAAAATTCTTTTCCTACCTATTGCATGCACGGGCTAAATTCAGCATAGGCAGAAGTGGTAGGAAGTTTTAAGTGGTCAATAATGCCCTTAGAAGAGCTTTTTTAACTGGCTGGCTTCAGTACTGCAGATAACCAAATTTTTATCTATGATTAGGCTTACTGTGTAGTTCTTGGGATTGATCTTGACACCAGCCTTTGCCCCACCAAATGGCACATCTACAAGAATGCAAAGGAAAATCATTTTATTTTTTCAACAATAAAGGCAGAACACATGAGTAATATGTGTAATTCTATCTTTGATTTTGGCAGTGATTTTGGTTTTGCCACATTTAAGGCTTCTCAAGTGTAAACTAAAATCTGATCTAGGTACTCTTGTAAAAATGGGAGATATTTCAAGGCAGCTTGAAAATGGTCTCTGAAACTCTAAAGTTCATGATTTAAATTTTCTATGCTTCAATCTCTTGTCCCTGGCACTTGTAGAAACAGTTTTATGATTTATATTTTACTGGATTAGCTCAAACACTTTACTCTGGAAGTCCTATGTGTCTTTATATACATTAAGAAAGTATTTTCTTTCTTACACATAATGTGCAGATTCTCTCCAAACTCCTCTACAATTTAGTAGCTGTGTATGAACTGTACTTCTTCATAACCCGTAAAGGAATTTTATCCTTCTTTCTCCACAGCTCCCCTGCCTGAATCCTTTACAGCCTCCATCTGTTCCCCCTAAAATTAGTCCCCTATTAATCCAAGTTTGTCATACTTGGATTTGAGTTCAAGATTCAGTACTTTTATGGGAGAGGGTAGCTGGCAGAATTTGGACTCTCCAAATGAAAATGCAACTTTATTTAAGTATCTACAGTAACAGCAGAGGGAATATGTATTATTATTTTGGTTATTGTATGTTTTTCCCACCTTGCTACAGATTTTACTTAAAGATTAAAATTCAGTTTAGTCTTTTAGATTTTTTTTTTGCTGTAAATTACATCAGTACTGATTGAAACTGAAGACTGAAATCTTGCTTGAAAAACAAACACTTACCAACCACAGCACATTTATACGTCATGAGAGATGCTAAGGCTTTCACTTCATCCACACTGACATCCATACTGTAACGAATACCTGCAAAAGACACATGAGAAAAAACAGGAATTCACTGAGCAACTTCACAGGTATTTAAAAATCGGGAAGGATAATTCTACATCGAGTATCTATAACATTCAAGTATGTAATTTATCAATTTACTTGCTTTAAGATTTGGAGAACAAGTCCCTGCTATCTTACTTAAATATCTATCTTTTACTCAGCAGAAATGCAGGATTCCAGTAATTCCCTACTGAGTAGCTTAACAGCAGCATTTAGTCTTTGGGAAAAAAGTGAATATTCCTAGTGAGGAAGACAAGTCAAGCTGACAGGTAACTAGGACTAGAGTTTTCAAGAGGCTGATAAAGCTCTCCAGCATTCCATAAGATCTTTAGCTGTGGGCTTCATTCATTGTATATACAAGATGAACTTTGTTCCTGAACATCAGCACAGGTTACAATCCAGGTCTTTTTGCTGGAGTAATACAAGCTCCTGTTATAAGGCTTGGTTTCAAGGCTCTGGCTGCTAGACACAGCCATGTAACAAAAAGCAACAAATCACTCTGCTAATTCATTTTTTTTCAAAACATTTTGAGATAACTCCAGCCCACCAAGCTTGTGTGACCAGGCCATCCATCCCACACCCACGTGGAAGCCAGCCCACACCTGCATTCCCTGCTCCATGTCATTCAGCAGAGCTGCAAGTGTGTGCTGACACATGGTGCCAAGTGCAAATTCAAATTGTTGTGGGCTGATAGCAGCCCAGATGCAAAATGGGTGATCCCAGCACTCAAGAAAATTTAAAACTGAGAGGAAAAACACAAAGGCAAGGAGATCTTTCACCTGCCCAACTCCTGGGTTGGAGTTGCCCAATAAATTGATTGAACTCAGTTAAAATTCATGTATTCTGAAGGTAGCTGCAGAGTAGAAAATACTTAACTCAACTGACGGGACACATAGACAGAACTCCAGAAGCCTAAACATGATGTTTAAGATCAACACAGTGCCCAAAGTCATGTGGCCACAGCAAAAAAGCCCCTACAGCTGTATGTTTGTTTCTATTCCAGCTTTTCCTACATAACTAAGCATGTAACAGAGCCATGAATAATTTATTATCTCCATCTCTACTCCCCAAATCCTTGGCTGTAGGTTGTGCCAAGCTGCACGGTGGTTTGTAGTGGGCACAGAGTGTCCTTTAGATGGCACCACAAATTTCCTATTATGTAAAGAGAAGACTATATTCAGGTCCTTAGGAGTGAAAAAAGGCCAGCATACATTATCTAAACTAAAGTGCTGCTATGAAAGCCATTCCTGAATGCTCTGGAAACAATCCCAGTTTCAAAGGAACTGAGCACTGCTCAAATAAAGCTGAGGGCCAAGTGCTGCTTTCTTATGTGAGTTCAATCACTAAAAGAAAGTACCATGCCTCTGCAGAACAGAATTTAAATTTGTTGTGTATATGGGGGAAGGGTGGTCTCCAAAAGCAAAACTGCCTAACTTGGGTAGCTGCAAGGTGTTCATGTCTGGGCTTTCAATCACCTTCTCACAGGAAGTAATATTCAAAATTTAAGTGGAATCTATCAGAGCCCTACAGACCAGTCAAAGTTACAACATACATGGGTTTTTTTTTTAACATGTCTTACTCTGATCCTTCAGAGGAGTAGTTATCCTTCTGTCAAGCTCCAAGCAAGAACACCACCACCTACAGCACTGACTGTCCTGCCTGAGGAAATCATTCCCTCTTGGTTGAGCAGGTACTCTGGCCACAGGTCTCATCAGAGTATTGCTCAAGCCAGCCAAGTTTGAAGTCATGGCCTGTGCTGGCCAGAAATGAACTCTGCCCCTCCACCCCCAGGTGAACTAGATCACTGTGTATTTATTCAACCCATATACTTATTTAAATTTCCAAGGTGTGTATACAAAGCAGTTTTGCTATAAATGTACTCCTGCAGGCACACAAAATGTTGTTTATTGATATATGGAAAGTAGCAGGGAAACCAAATAGTTAGGGATAGTCATCTTGTATAGTTCAAAGAGAGAAGAAAATTAAAAAAGGAGAGGGAAGCCTCTTCTGCACATCATATGGAAGATAGCATCTGAAGAGGTAAACAAGCAGCAGTTTAACCAGAACACTCAAACACATGTAAACAGTTAGATCTCTGGTTTCCTTTTATTACAGTCAAGGATTACTATTAACTTTAATGTAATAATTGTAACTTTCATACCAAGGGAAATAGGGAAAAAGCCCCAGGACTAACTAAGTACTGATAGGCTTTTAACTGAGCTGCCTATTTGTCAGCCACACCAGAATAAGGCAAACTTTTATACTTGAGGCTGAAACTGTCCTTTTCTGGACAACTTGACATTTCTGAGCAAGATTTAACTTCTTTTCCAGGCTTTTAAACAGTTGTAATTGAAGTGATTTGACTGGTGGCTTTATCTTGGTAAGTGGGAGACTAGTCAATTCTGAGAGTTGTGCTGACTTCACTGGTTACTCTTCTCTAGTTTATTTGGTAGAATTGTTCACTACAGTGTCAGGTGAAGTTCATGGTGTAGATCCCAGGTCCCCAACAGGCATGATGAGTTTTTCCCTTTGGTGGCAGGAGCACAGAACCCTTCAGATGCACTCACATTCAGCCATTTACTGTTTTCCAGGAATTGTAATTACTCTACAGGAGGCCCACCTCTTGACAGGGAAGTTATTTGTGCTAAGCTGTTAAGACTGATGAGAAGCAGGCATCTGAGAATGCTGTACATTCCATCTGCAAGCGGATGCACAAAGATAAAAGACTTACTTAATTTCTATTCTATTTGGACATCATTGAAATTTAGTTTGACAGCTTCCTAATTTGGCAAGAGGAGAGTATTGCCGTGCATTTTTATGGCTCTTTTGGCAGGGTTACTATGCATTCAATAGCCTGAGTCTAAAAATGGACCATATACAGAGATAAAATACTGGGTTTGGTTTTTTTTAAGGTTCTTACTACATAAAAGCAAATGAAAGTTACTGTTAGGCAGCAAGATAATTTTTTTAAACCCTGGCAAGTCCCACACAGTAAGCCTCGGGAAACTTGTGGCTTTTACAGCAAACCAGCTACAGAAAAAATAGTTTGAAGAAAGCCTCAAGTTACAATATGACTCACTGCCATGGAAAATACTTTTCACTGGAAAACATACAAATTCTTGTTCTAGTTGAGAATTCTCTTTCCTTGCCACACCCCAAGAAGTTAAACAGCATGCTAAGAGAAACTTTGTTTTTCTATGCACAAAGGTTTCCAGATGAGGAAATGTTTTCATTTTAATTTTTCTTTAGTATTGGTCAGTCTAAAGAGAAGGATTTATTATCACATTGTTGTGCTTATACTTTTAAAACTTCTTTATGATCTGTATTTTGGAAGATACAATACTTCACTCAGTTACCTCTTGCACTGAGTCCAGTAATTGTTTCCTCATGATTTAAGCTTAGATTCTTAGATAATGCTACAGATTAATTTTCACTTTTCCAAATGGAGGTAGAAAGCACTTGAAAGACAGTGTTCTTTTTAAATATATGGAAAGTAGTAACTATCAGTAAGACTGTATTTTGGATTCTGTCATAACAGCAGTTGGTTATCATTTGGATCAGCAGGTTTATAGTAAGGATTTTACCAACATCCACATAACAAAGACCTTGATTTCCAAGAAAACTGGTTACACATCCTACTACATTTTACATTGTACAGATTTCAGTGTGTTCTGTGATGTTCAGTGTGATTATTATGCTTTCTTAGAAAACCTGATGTACAGAACTACCAACCTTTTAAGGATGACTACTGCCTTTTTAGTATGCCTACAAATCTACATTTAGGGAAGTTAGTTCTCTATTTCCTGATCTTCTAGTGCAGTGATCTTAAATGGTACTACCTACGTATGCCCTGACCACTAATGAGCATGAAGTATTCAAAGTCTCAAAACTGAAGAGTTGCCATAGTAACAGTTCAGAGCAAAACCCTTGGTAAACTACTCCTCCTGCACTAAATTATCTTGCAAATCTTAGCAAGTCTCTCAAGTCCCCCAGAACCTTGAACACCTTTGCACCTCAGCCTAAATTATTAATATCTAACCAGGGTTTCGTCCTGCTTTGACTTCAGTGTTTTCTTCTAGCTGTGATGATCTTGTGAACTTTGGAACTAATTTGGGTCCTCTACAGATGACAGTTCTTGTTAGGATGGTGCATTTGTTCAGCTCATGTTTATTTGCAAAGGGCTTGCTCATCAAAAGCAGCCCTCCAGAGCAGCAGCTATCCTATACCACCCATACAGCACTCAGCAAAACAGATTTCATGATCTCCTTCGAAAGTTTTTAGGACTGATTAAAGCCATATTCATCTCCCAATTAGTAAAACTGGATTCTGTGGTGGCTCTGTGCATTAACAGCTTGCCTGACCCTGTCCAAAGGCTGCAGTATAAGTCTGGAGCACAAGGAGCTTCAGTAAAGATGCTCGCCTCGTTCAAACTACTTCACAAAATCCACAAATCAGTCCCAGCATTTACTGCAGTGCCTTAGTTACTTAATGTTTTACCACTGGATTATGTATAACATTTTCATGTTTGGTAAGTAAACAAGTGCAATTGTGGTTGTACTGCTATCAAACTCTAAGTAATCACTGATACCTAACTCAGTAGGAACAGATCTTCCAAGCAATCCTTAGACTCTTTCAGAACAAGCACATTTTTCTAGATTCAGAAAAACAATCCAGCCTTCCCTAGAAGAAAACTGCTTAACCTTATTTAACAACTTAGAAATTGTGGTACACAGCACAGTGACAAATTTGTCATTATTGAAGACAAAGAAATTCTAGATATCTCTAACAAAGCAAGATGAGTAATTCAGTGCTGGACAACAAGAACACTGTACACCAATCAGCAACAAGAACTACTAATTCCTAAATTCAATTCACTAACTGCCAAGAGAGGAGATAAAAACATTTATCTCTTCCCACACAGCACTAGCCAGCTATAACTGGGGGCAGGAAAGAGATTCCCCCATGGAGACACTCCACCAT